TAAAAATTAAATATATCTCTTTTGACAAGGAAATGCTCTCACTGATCAGGGAAGGAGCATATCTACCTTGATACACAAGAGTCTGGTTGCTGCTGACATCCTCTTGTTTTCATATTATGTACCATACCGCGTTGAGAACAATAAGCTAATCATTACTCAGATTGGTAGATGAAAATAAGTTTAGCTTTTTTTAATGTCTCATCCATTTCAACTGCACAGGGTGTCCCAGGGGAGAATCTTAAGATCTAAGAAAATGTACAATGCATTTAAGTGCATATGTCTGGCATACTTTGCAAATACTCTGCAGTCCATGCTATACTTATGTATGTGTGTATTGATCCCCAAGCTTTCTTGATTTTATCTCCAGTAAGTAGGCTTGAACATAGCTGCCATGTTTAGGGATTTCTGGCATGTAATGTATGAAAGGAAGGTTCACTGTATTACTCCCATAAAGGTGCTGATCCTTGTCTCACATGCTTTTTTAATGGGATAGATATTTGATTTTTTATTTTGTCTGCTAGGATTTTGAATCCTTGGCTTTAAGCCTGTCACAAAAGAGGGAAGTGCATTGAGGACTATATGTGTTAACCTGTGGTGTGTCTCCTTCCCCTGAGACGGGTGCCCCTTTCCTGACAGGCGGATGAGAGCTGGCCCTGCCGAGACCCCGGTCGCAGCAGTCGAGAACGTGCCGACGATCGTCGCCGGGTGCGGCGACACGGCTCGAGCTCCGATGAGGATTCAAACAGACGCCTGAGCCGGGATAGAAGTCGAGAGCGGAGGGATCGCGATCGTCATCGCAGCTCCAGCCGGGACCGGAAGAGGAGACCTGGCGATCGGAGACAGGATCGTCGCCGCAGACGTTCTCGCAGCCAGGATAGGAGGTGGGTCTTTGTGATTGAGTATATCTTTTTATTTTTTCCAATTACTGTAAGAGTATTATCAAAGGTGTTCTGTTTGTCTTGGTCGCCATTGTTTAAAAATGTATAGATCTCAATATTAAGAATATTATGTAGCTCTTGCCAAAGAGTGGGGATACAAAAATATTTAGGGAAGGCATTCATTGATAGCCACATCACTGTTTGATTGCAGAAATGTGCAAATGGGCCAATTCAATACTCTTGACAAAGTTCTTGAATCCATATTCATGATCTGAGAATATTTTTTTGCCAGAATTTTGATAAGAAAGCTCCCCCTATTCATGTTATTGCTAGATGTTGTTGATTTGTAGCTGTAACACTTATGGTGATGAAAAAACTCATGAAAATCATTGGTAACATTTCTTCCTTTGGTGAAAGAAGTTATCTGTACCAATACTTCTTTTTTTTTTCTTAAATTTGACACTGGATCTTTGAGGATTTCAGTTGTCATATATTGGTTACACTAAATTATTAACTGTGCTTGCTTAACAAGAAAACCTTTTGCTGTTTTCAATTGTCTAAAATAACTCTGAAATTGTATATTTCATCACAAGGCTTTCTGTGATGAACATGGCATAGCATTAATGAGTTTATCATGCTGTTGTGATCTTGTCAGGCGGAGTCGTGATCGGGACCGATCTCCTCAGCGTCGATCTCCCTCCCCCAGACGTTCACAATCCCAAAGCAAGGGCAAGGCTGCTGATGAT